TGACGGACTGGAGGGCTTGGGAGGACCAGAGCGGGCTGGAAGAGGTTAATGGGGGGACAAGGAGGACCTATGTAATACTTTCAACAGTAAAGATTAAAAGAAAAGAAATCCCCCTCCCCCATATTCTGATATGGCTTGGAGTGTGTTCTGCATATCAGTTTTTTAAAAGCTCATCAGATGATTCTAATATGCTACCAAAGTTAAGAAATACTTGATCAAAGGATTAGAGAATGATAGTCCGTTAATATTAAAACCTCAGCTGGGACATTTGGCATAATCAGACCCATTTTTTAAAAAAATGCAGAATCAACTTTATATGCTGACACCGTTTCTGTAGCCCTAGAATGTAATATTCTTCAAATTACTAAAATATTATACTTCTATATTCATATGGAATTTCACATATATACTTTACTTTTCAGAGCCCCCTTAATGGGGAAACAAAGAATAGTAGTTCCTATTTCCCGCTGCATATGCCTATTATTTGGGGAACTTTAGGCAAAAACTTTGGGTAAAAAATACAGATACCTGTGTCCCACCCTAAACAACAAGAGATTCTAATATGTAGCTAGAATGGGGAACCATTATTTTAGAGCTTATAAATAGAGAAGATTTGAGATTATAGCTTTATTGTCCTAAAAATTAAAGGTACAGTTGCCAGTATTAGTTTTCTAATTATAGTTATTATTTTGCCCATTAACTTATTGTTTGGATTGTTTATAGCTTTAAAAAAATGAGGAATATCAATAAAAACAAGATGAAGAGGTTTATTTTTCAACCAAGAGCTTGAATTGGCTTTTCACTAAACTAACTATGAATTTTTGTAGCACACATAGGTAGATTTCTCTCCTTTCACTGGTCCCCCAAACTAGTTTAATTAAATCAGAATCTTTGAGGGTGGTGGGGCAGCACATATTTTGATGAACTGCCTCTAATATTCAATTTCTATTGACCTATTTTATCTTGGGTCAAATCTCTTAACCTCTCTAACCTCATCTGTAAAATGTAACTAGTGGCTACCTTGCATTAAGTATTGATGTGAGGATTACATTAAATATATGTAAAGTGTCTGGCACTAAATAACCTCACATCTATGTTCATTGTACTTTTAACAGAACTCTATTATAGGTACTGCAGTGCAGGTTGGATTACTTTTATAATTTAGTATTTTAAATTTATATTTTAATTTATATTCAATATAAAATTTATACTTTTGGATCTAAACTTCCATGAATTTTGACAAATGCCTAGAGTTGTATAACCACCACCATCACAATCAGAACAGTTCCATCATCACCTCCTATATAATTCCCTCTTTCTACTTGGTTTGCTTAAAGCATCCCCCACCCTTAATCCCTGGAAACCAGACATATGTACACCATTCCTATAGTTTGCCTTTTTCACCATGTCACATAAATGGAATCATACAATATGTAGCCTTTTATATCTGGCTGCTTTCACTGGAAATTTGCATTTGAGATTATTCTTGCTGTATATATAGACTAGAGGCCCAGTGCATGAAATTTGTGCTAGGGTCCCTAGCAGCAGCTGGCTGCGGCCTCCCTTCCCCAGGCGGTTGCCTGCAGCTGGCGGGGGCCTCCCTTCCTGTGGTTGGCTGGCTGGCCCCGTCCCCTGGTCAAACTCCCAGTCAAGGGGACAATTTTGCATATTAGGCTTTCATTGTATAGGATAGTTCTTTTTGTTGCTGAGTAGTATTCCATTGTGGGGATATGTACCACAGTTTTGTTTCTGATTTTTGTCAAGTACAAATAAAGCTGTTAATCTCTTATAGGTGATTGGATGAAAATAAGTTTTCATTTCACTTGGGTCAGTAGCAGTGAGATATTGGAATAGTATTAAGTATATGTTTAACTGTAAGAAACTGCTAAACTTTTTCTTATTGGCTGTACTCTTGCATTGTCACTAGTAGTATATGAGAGAGTTCCAGTCACACCACATATTCTGTAGCACTTGGGATGGTCAGATTGTTCCCCACCCCCACCCCCAACACACATTCTAATAGGCATGTAATGGTACCATTATTGTTTCAATTTTGTGTCTTGAGTAACTAATGACATTAGCATGTTTTCATTTTTATTTATGCCTCTGCATAGATTTTCTTTTGTTAAGTATCTTTTTAAATCATTTGCTTATTTTTTAAATTGAGTTGTTTTCTTCTTGTTAGATTTCAAGATACATTTTAAATATATATATTCCAGCCGAGTCCAGCTCAGTGGCTGAGCATGGACCTAGGAACCAGGATGTCATGGTTCCATTTTCGTCAGGGCGCATGCCCAGGTTGTGGGCTCAATCTCCAGTAGGGGCTGTGCAGAAAGCAGCCAATCAATGATTCTCTCTGATTATTGATGTTTCTCCCTCTACCTTCTTCTCTGAAATCAATAAATACATCTCTCTCTCTCTCTCTCTCTCTCTCTCTCTCTCTCTCTCTCTCACACACACACACACACACACACACACACACACACACACTCTAGAGGCCCAGTTCGCAAAATTTGTGCACGGGTGCAGTCCCTAGGCCTGGCCAGTGATCGGAATGTGAGCTTCTGGCGTGGAAGGGCTCTATCCATTGAGCCAAACCGACTAGGGCTAGAATTTTTTTCTTTCCTAAGAATTTTTAAAATTAATTTTAAGGTTTTCACCCTTACCTAATATTAATAGCTGCTTTTAGGAGCTTTGATAATTCTAACAGTTGGGTCATCTAGGGGTTAGCATATATTGTCATCTCCCTTAATCAGATTTTTAGTTGTTCTTGCTATGTCTGATAATTTGGGATTCTGTCTTGGACATTTTGAATATTATGTTGTAAGATTCTCTGTCCTGTTAAAATCCTTTTGAGAATGGTGAGGATTTTTAAATTTCTTTTAGTAAACAAGCCAACCCAGTGAGATTATAAGTTCAAGTTCTTTCTCGCTTTAAGTAGGCAGTGGTTCCATTATCTGTTCCATTTCAAAGCCTTTGCTATGTTGAATTTGCCCCTTCCATTCCTGTTTAGTTTGTTTAGGACTTAGGCAGTGATTCATGTAATAGTTCTGTTCTGAAAGCCTCTCTTGTACTTCTTTGGCTGGTTTTGACACATGTGCAGCTATAGTTAGGCCCAGAACTTGGTTCACATACAGAATTGGAGATCTACTTCTCCATCTCTCTCTGTGATTTTCCCTGAACTCTCTGGCTCCAGGGGCCCTTTTCTTTATTCCTAGAGCCAGAAACAAGGGATTCTCTCCGTTTTAGTTTCCTGCCTGTCATATCTTGGGGTGAAGTAGGAAGAGAAAAAAAAAAGAAAAGAATGGATGCCTCTACACCAGGGGTCCCCAAACTACGGCCCCCGGGCCACATGCAAATGCAAATATTGTATTTGTTCCCGTTTTGTTTTCTTACTTCAAAATAAGATATGTGCAGTGTGCATAGGAATTTGTTCATAGTTTTTTTTTAAAACTATAGTCCGGCCCTCCAACGGTCTGAGGGACAGTGAACTGGCCCCCTGTTTAAAAAGTTTGAGGACCCCTGCTCTACACTCTTCACAACAGGGACCCTCTTCCTGATTCCTTTATTCAGAGCAGTGTTTTCTCTTTTGGTTTTCAATGCTCTCTCTGCAGCTGGGTAGTTTGATGGCCGGTCTGGCTTCAGTATGGGGGGCTGTGAGGGGGGACGGGACAAGAGAAAGGAAAAAGGTATTTTCCCCACATTCTCCAGGAGCCTTTTGCCCTTGTCTTCTGGACACACACACACACACAAATACACACACACACATTTCTCTGAATTTTTACTGATCATGCCTGTTACAGTTTCCCTGTTTGGCCCACCCTTGGGTCAAAGCCAAGAAGTAAATGGGAAAGCAAAACAAAACAGGATACTTACCACTACCTTATTAGTTGTTCTTCACTTACTTCCCTCTCCAGTCTGCTTGCTGTTATTTCGTTTTCAGAGTACTTTGTTAGATGTATTTTGTCCAGAGTTTTTCATTATAATCAGTGGAAGAAAGGGACACTAAAGTGAGCTTATTGCCCTCTGCCATCTTGGCCAGGATCGAGAAGTCAGGTTGTCACATTTCTAAGAAAAAGTTGGTGTCTCTCAGTGGTTAGAACGCTGTCCTGCACATGGAAGGGAGGGTTGTGGGTTGGATTCTTGGTCAAGAGCATGTACCTGGGTTGAATGTTAGATCCCGGGACCCGATAGGGGGTGTGTGCAAGGGGTAACCAATTAATGATGTGTCTCTCACATCGATGTTTCTCTCTCTCTCTCTCTCTCTCTCTCTCTCTCTCTCTCTCTCTCTCTCTCTCTCTCTCACCTTCTTTCTCTCTCTCTCCCTTCCTCTCTTCCACTCTCTCTAAAAATTAATGGAAAGCCCTGGTTCGTTTGGCTCAGTGGATTGAGCCTCGGGCTACCTATGGACTAGTCAAAATTCTGTACCCAGGTAGTAAGCTCACTAGTTTCATGGGAAATGGAAAAATTTGTAACAGCATTGTGATAGGACAGTAAAGTTTTTGTTTCATGGCATTAGCCTTTTCTTCTGGAAATGAAATACCAACCTATTTTATACTCTATAAATTATTACACAGTACAGATTTTTTCTTTTTTTTTTTCATTAAATGTCTTTGAAGGACCTTCTGATTTAAAATGGTTTATAATCATTTGAACTATTCAATACATAAGGTGTTAGAAGTTTTATTGATTAATAGTGTGCTGATGTGGCAGATGTTAACTCTTAATTGCAAAAGTTCATTTTCATTAGTGCTTGATTTAATACAGTAATTTTTCACTTAATTCCTTTTTGGCTTATTTTGACTTCTGCTTTAGAATCCTATAGAAACCTGCCTCATTGGTGTGGCTTACTATTTTTAAATAGTCTTGATCATTTTTTAAGGGGATAAAAAATATCGTAGGAAAGGAAATTTGGGTGGAGTGTTATAAATTCAATCTAAAAATTCACTAAATGTTAATGAAGTGCTATTACCTGAAAATGACTTTTTTTCCCCCTTTAGAATCCAGCAACTATCACAAGAATACTCCTTAGCCACTTCAATTGGGATAAAGAGAAGCTAATGGAAAGGTAAGGAACTATCATGTCAGCTTTGAACTTAAAAGTAACACAGAAAACCTATTGAACAGAATTTACAAGAAGCAAGTAAGGAGTTGATTTATATACCAGTGTGTGAACAAACCAAAATGCAAGCAGTATCTGGTTTAATCTCTTATATTCTTAATCCACAATTTTGCAATAAATTTAGTGTTTAAGGGAACTCGGGATGAATGTTTCGTATTTTATTTTGGAGGTGAATGGGGGGCTCTGCTTCAGTATCATGTACATATATTTCCTTTTGAGTACCGAGAACTAAAAGTAGGTTTTCAAAAATGCATAAGATCTTTAAATTACTTAAAAAATTTCTTGCCCATAAACCTTTAAATCCATGTTAGGCATATTAATGACATTTATTCAGTAAAAAGGAAATAAAGAAGTTGCTTTTGGTATCCTGGCCACCAAAATGGCTAATTGAACTGATTTTCTGGTTTCAGTGCAAGATTATATTCCATAGGAGATTTAAAATTATTTTCTCTCAGAAAATGTTTCTAGCTCTAATACTGATGCCATTCTTAATCTTTTCCTCTTCTTTAGATTGGAAATTTGGAACACTTAAGGTGGAGTAGGGTTAAAAGCCTCCATTCTCTCAGCCTTTATTCTCAGTCTAAAATTAGCAATCCTAATTTTAATAAAAAATTACAACTAGTTATTGGGAACTGAGAACCCAGATATTGTGAAAAGTAAATAAAAATATTTCCCCTTTGATTTGAAAATTGAAAGCACTTTGTAAAACATATTAGTTAATACCAAGAGTATTACATGATTTCTCACACCTTGTACCCAACTACAATTTAATGCCTTGAGTGCGGGGGAGCGCGATCACGCTCCTCCTGTCTTTCACCAAAAGTGCCGGGAGCGCTATCAAAGCTTCGAAATGGCGTCCAGTTCTAAGTATGCTTTTATTAGTGATGATGATATTGCTAAATATGTCAATGTAGTAAAGGTTTCCTTAAGTTTTTGAATATGTAACTTCATTTACTTGCGATTCATAATTTTTTTCCTAAACTGCTGTAAAATCAGCAAAAATGCCTTGGCAATTTTAGCACAGTTCCTAGGATATTGGTTGGCACTCAAAGGGTTAATAGTGACACTAATACCTGTCAATTATTAAACCCCCTGTGCCAGACATTATTTCATTTTATCATCTTGATAGCCTTATGGGGCTAAGAAATTACTAAATTTAATTGATGCAGAAACTAAGACTTAGAGTTTAATAATACATTTACCTCAGTTTTGTAACACAAGGAGTTACCACTCAGACTCAGGTTTGTTGGATTCCTAAGCTTATGTTCTTAAACACAAAGTATACATCTTTCCCATGATTCATAAATGAAATGCTCCTTGACTAGTTTTATGTTGTTATTTTTTTGTTTGTTTTTGTCCCCCCATGCATCTCACCATCTTTTTTGAAGTCAGTGATATTTCTTAAATTAGTAACATTTATTTTCAGTCTTGTTTTATGGCACCTTTATTAGGAAAAGGAGTTTTCTTGTTTATATCTGATACGCTTTTAGTGAACTAGATTTATTTACAGTTTGTTATTAATCCATTTTTCCAAATTAGTGTTTTTAAAATCAATATGTACTATTTTTGTCTCATTTAATGAGTTTCACATTATATCCTATGCTGTCTAATATTACCACTGTCACATTTTATTTTTATGATTACTACTGCCTTAGTAAGTTGTGCTTTATATTTACCATGTCTTTGGTTATTTTGTTGCCTTAATTAAGTTTTCACTCTCTCCCCCTGCCCCCAATAATTTTAAAAGTTATATATTTTATTTTTAGTAGCCATCCTTAAAATTTGTATATGCATACTTAAAACTATAAGTATGGCCCTGGTTGGTGTGGTTCAGTGGTTAGAGCATTGTTCCCTCCACTGCTAGGGTCACCCGTTAGATCCCTGACCCCAGGACATGTGCGAGAAGCAAAGAATTAATCTCTCTCTGCTGATCTTTCTAGCTAGTGTTCCTGCTTCCTCTCCCCCTCCACCCTCCTCCTTCCCCCTGCCCATCTCCTAAACCCTCCCCCATCCCTTTCCCCCATCCAATACCCTCTCCCTCCCTTCCACTCTGTCTAAAAATCAGTGGAAAAAAATATCGTCTGGTGAAGATTAACAAAAAATCCCCCAAGCCCATTAAGTTTGTAACAATATTTAATTACAGTATTTATATCCATGCCTTGCACAAGATAAAAATTGTAGCATACTTTTCTTCTCTATCCTTTCCTTTTTTCCTCTCAGCTTGATACATTGATATTTGAAATTTCCATTTGATGTTAAGTATTTTTACTCAATATGTTTAACTTCTTTTCTAATTTGTTTATTGCAGTCCACTGTTTTCTCCAAATTTACCTTTCATACTCTAGAATATATCCTTTAGTCATTTAAATCAAGTTTCATATGTGAAAACTATTCATGTACTCTAAAGAGAAATATTTTGAGATTTGAGGGTGAGTTTTGAAAACATACCCTTTTGGCCCTTAAATTCTTCATACTCATGTTTTTGATTTGGGGAAATTCTTAGTCGTTCTTTCTTCAATAATACCTTCTCTCCATTCTCTTAATGCTTTCAGGAATTCCTGTTATTCACATGTTGAAACTTCTGGATCTCATTTCCAAGTCTCCTAATTTTTTCTTTTTTAAATTTATTAGGACAACATTGGTTAATATGTAGGTTTCAAGTGTACATTTCTATGATACATGATGTGTATATTGTATTGTGTGCCTACCACCCAAAATCAAATCATCTTCTGTCACCATATTTGGCCCCCTTTACTCTTCACTATGCCCCTATCCCTTTTCCTCTGGTAACCACCATACTGTTGTTTATCTCTGTGAGTTTCATATCCTACATATGAGTGAAATCATATGGTTCTTGGCATTATCTGACTGACTTATTTTGCTTAGCATAATATTCTTAAGGTCCATTCATGTTGTTGCAAATGACAGTATTGCATTTTTTCTTATGACTGAGTAGTATTCCATTACATATATACATATAAAAATCTTGTTTATCCTATCCTCTATTGAGGGACATGTCAGTTATTTCCATGTCTTTACCACTGAGAATAATGCTGCAATGAACATAAAGGTGCATATATCTTTGTGAATAAATGTTTTTGAGTTTTTCGGGTTGGTATCCAGAAGAGGGATAGCTAGTTATATGGTAACTCTGTTCTTAATATTTTGAGGAACCACCATACTGCTTCCCATAGTGGCTGTGCCAGTTTACATTCCCATGAGCAGTGAATGAGAGTTCCTTTTTCTCCACAATCTCCAACGCTTGTTCTTACCTGTCTTATTGATAATAACCATTCTAACAGGTGTGAGGTGGTTTCTCATTGTAGTTTTGATTTGTATTTCTCTAATAGCTAGTGAAATTGAACATTTTAATAAATCTGTTGGTCATTTGTATGTCATCTTTTTAATTTTTTAATTATGATATCGAATTTATTAAGAGACAGAGGGAAGACTCCTGATTCAGTCTCTGTGTGGTCTTCACTTTCCGTCCTTGGTTATCAGTTCTCTCTAGCTAGTCTTCAGTTGATTATTCAGGATGGTTTTCTGTATTTTAGTTGTAATTCCAGTTTGGTCCTAGGGAGCATGCCTGTGAGCTTCCACTTACTCCACCGACATACTGGGATCTTTCTGTATGTCTTCTTGGGAGAAGTGTCTGTTCAGATCCTCTGCCCATTTTTTAATTGGATTGTTTGGTGTTGAGTTGTATGATTCTTTATATATTTGGATATTAACCCCTTATTGGAGCTGTTGTTTGAAAATATCTCCTATTTGGTTGGTTTCTTTGGCTTGTATAGAAGCTTTTTAGTTTGATATAGTCCCATTCACTTATTTTTGCCTTTACTTCCCTTGTATTTGGAGTCAAATTCATAAAATGTTCTCTATAACCAAGGTCCATAAATTTAGTGCTTGTATTATTTTCTATGCAATTTATTGTTTCAGATCTGATATTTAGGTCTTTGATCTATTTTGAAATAATTTTTGCCCATAGGGACAAACTGTAGTCTAGTTTCATTAATTGCATGTGGCTTTCCAGTTTTCCCAGCACCATTTATTGAAGAGGCTTTCTTTTCTCCATTGTATGTTTTTGGCTCCTTCCTCAAAAATTACTTTTTTATATCTGGGCTTAGTTCTTTTCCATTCATCTTTGTGTCTGTTTTTCTGTCAGTACCATGCTGTTTTGATTATCGTAACTCTATAGTATAATTTGAAGTCTGGTAGCTTGATACTTCTGGCTTCATTCTTTTTTCTCAGGATTGCTTTGACTATTTGCAGTCTTTTGTGGTTCCATATAAATCTGTTTTTAAGATATGACATTGAGATTTTGATGGAGATTGCATTAAATCTGTATATTGCTTCAGGTAGTATGGCCATTTTAGCTATGTTGATTCTTCCAGTCCATGAACACAGAATGTCTTTCCATTTAATTGTGTCTTCTTCAATCTTGGATAATAGTTCTTTGTAGTTTTCTGTATATAGGTCCTTTATGTCCTTTGCTAAGTTTATTCCCAGGTATTTTATTCCTTTGGTAGCAATTGCAAAAGAAATTGGTTTGGGTTTTTGTTTTTTTCATTTCTATTTCTTAAGTTTCATTGTTAGTATATAGGAAAAGAAGTGGATTTTTGTACACTGATTTTGCATCCTGCAACTTTACTGTATTTGTTTATTATTTGTAATAGTTTTTTTAGTGGAGTCTTTAGAGCTTTCTATATTCAGAATCATGTCATCTGCAAAAAGTAACCCTTCTAGCTCTAGCCCAGTGGTTCTCAACCTTCCTGCCCTTTAAATACAGTTCCTCATGTTGTGACCCAACCATAAAATTATTTTTGTTGCTACTTCATAACTGTAATGTTGCTACTGTTATGAATCATAATGTAAATATCTGATATGCAGGATGGTGTTAGGCAACCCCTGTGAAAGGGTCGTTGGACCGCCAAAGGGGTCACGAC